TGAAAGCTTTTCCTCTAAAAAGATCAGGAAGAAGGATGCTCAATCTCACCACTTTTATTCACCACGGTACTGGAAGTCCTAGCCTCAGAAACCAGAAAAGAAAAAGAAATAAAAGGCATCCAAATTGGTAAGAAACAAGTTAAACTGTCACTATTTGCAGATGACATGATACTATAAATAGAAAACCTTAAAGATTCCACCAAAAGACTATTAGAAATAATAAATGAATTCAGTAAAAATTGCAAGATACAAAATCAACATTTGGAATTCGGTTGTATTTCTATACACTAATAACTATATCAGAAAAAGAAATTAAGAAAATAATTGCATCAAAAATAATATACGTAGGAATAAACTTAAGGAGGGAGGTGAGAGATCTGTACTCTAAAACCTGAAAAACACTGCTGAAAAAAATGAAGACAAACAACGACAACATAAATAAATAAATAAATAAATAAATAAATGAGATATACCATGCCATGGACCGGAAAAATTAATATTATTAAAACGTCCATACTACCCAAAGCAATCCACAGATTCAATACAATCCCTATCAAAATGCCAACGGCATTTTTCACAGAACTAGAAAAATCCTAAAATGTGTATGGAACCACAAGAGACTCCAAATAGCCAAAGTAATCTTGAGAAAGAGGAACAAAGCTAGAGGTATTGCAATCCCAGATTTCAAACTATACTACAAAGCAATAGTAATCAAAACAGGACGGTACTGGCACAAAAAGAAACAGGACATCGATCAATGAAACAGGACAGAAAGCCCAGAAATAAACCCAAGGTTATATGGTAAAACTAATCTGTGACAAAAGAGGCAAAAATACACAAAGGGGAAAAGACCATCTCTTCACTAAATGGTGTTGAGAAAACTGGGCAGCTACATGCAAAAGAATGAAACTGGCCCACTTTTTTACACCACATACAAAAATAAACTCAAAATGTATTAAAGACCTAAATGTAAGACCTGAAACTATAAAACTTCTAAAAGAAAACATAGGTTGGGGCGCCCGGGTGGCTTAGTCGGTTAAGCGTCCGACTTTCGCTCGGGTCATGATCTCGCGGTTCGTGGGTTCGAGCCCCGCGTCGGGCTCTGTGCTGACTGCCAGCTCGGAGCCTGGAGCCTGTTTCAGAGTCTGTCACTCCCTCTCTCTCTGACCCTCCCCTGCTCATGCTGTCTCTCTCTCTCCTAGAAATAAATAAATAAAACATTTAAAAAAATAAAAAATAAAAAATAAAAGAAAACACAGGCAATAAATTCTTGGACCTTGGCCTTAGCAACATGTTTTACATAGGTCTCCCCAGACAAGGAAAACAAAAGCAAAAAACAAAAAAACTGGGACGTCAAACAACATCAAGCTTTCCACAGTGAAGGAAACCACCAACAAAACAAAAAGGCAACCTACCGAATGGGAGAAGATATTTGCCGATATTATATCCAATAAGGGGTTAATACGCAAAATATATAAAGAACTTCTACAACTCAACACCAAAAGACAACCTGATTAAAAACTGGGCGGAGGACCTACACAGACATTCTTCCAAAGATGACATACAGGTGGCCAACAAGTACATGAAAAGATGCTCAATATCACTTCTCAAGGAAATTCAAATCAAAACCACAATATCATCTCACACCTGTCAGAATGGTTATTATCAAAAAGACAAGAAATAACAAGTGTTGGCGACAATGTGGAAAAAGGGGAACTTCCTTGCACTAGCTGTTGGGAATGTAAACTGATGCAACCACTACAGAAAACAGTATGGAGGCTCCTCAAAAAATTACAAGTAGAAATACAATAGGGCCCAGTAATTCCATTTCTGGGTATTTTATCAAAGAAAAAACTAAATGAAAAGCATACAGGCACTCCCATGTTTACTGAGGCATTATTTACAACAGGCAAGATACAGAAGCAACCTCAGGGTTCATCGACACATGAATGGCCACACAAAATATGGTGTGCGTACACAATGGACTATTACTCAGCCCTAAAAGAGTGAAATCATACATTCCCAACAACACGTATAAACCTAGAGCCTATTATGCTAAATAAGTCAAAGAGAGAAAAATACCACAGGATTTCACTTCTATATAAAATCTAAAAAACAAAACAGAAACAGAGTCATAAATACAGGAAAGAAACCTGACGGCTACAAGAAGGGAGGGAGTTGGAGAGAGGCAAAATGGGTGAAGGGGATTAAGAGGTACAAACTTCCAGTTATAAATAAGTCATGGGGATGGAAAGCATAACATAGGGAATACAGTCAGTAATAGTGTATCATGGTATGGTGAGCATTTTGTAATGTATTTAATTTTTGAATCACTATATTGCACACCTGAAACTAATGTAATGTCAACTATACTTCAATTTAAAAAAAAAATCCTACAACTCAGTAATAAAGAAAACAAATAACCCAATTAAAAAATGGGTAGGGGCCCGTGGCTGGCTCAGTTGTGGAGCGTGTGACTCTTGATCTTGGGGTTGTGAATTTGAGCCCTGCCCTGGGTACAAGAGATTACTTGAAAAATAAAAGTTAAAAAAATGGGCAAAGTATGCAAATACACATTTCCTCCAAAGAAGATACACAAATAGCAAATAATCACATGAAAAGATGCTGAGGGAAAGTAGGGAAATGCAAATCAACCTACAGTGAGATACCACTCCACGCCCAATGAGATGGCTATTAGAAAAAAGATCATAATAAGCACTGACAAAAATGTAGAAAAAGTAGAACCCCCACGGATTGCTAGTGGGAATATAAAATGGTACAGCTGCTTTGGAAAACAGTGTGGCAGTTCCTCTAAAAATTAAACAGTTATCATTGATCCACAGTTCCAAGACAAATGAGAACATATGTCCATACAAAACCTTGTGCATCAATGTTCATAACAGCATTATTCACAATAGCCGAAGAGTAGAAACAACCCAAATATCCAATAACTACTGAATAGGTAAGCAAAATGGTATATCCACACAACAAAATACAGTTCAGCAATGAAAAGCAAGGAAGTACTGATAATATGCTACACGAACAAACCTTGAAAATACTATGCTAATGAGGGTGAGAAAAAAAATACCACATAGGCTACAATTCCATTGATATGAAATGTCCAGAACAAGCAAACCACAGAGACAGGAAGTGGACTGGTGGTTACCAAGTGTAATGGTGGAAGTAAGAGCGGCTGCTAACAGGTGTGAGATTTCTTTTGGGGGTGATAAAATGCTCTGAAGTAGGATAATGGCAATAGTTGCACAATTCTGTGAATATATTGTTGAAATCCTTCTATTTTATTTTTTTTAATGTTTTATTTATTTTTGAGAGAGAGAGAGAGAGACAGCATGAGAGGTGAGGGTCAGAGACAGAGGGAGTCACAGAATCCAAAGACAGGCTCCAGGATCTAAGCTAGCTGTCAGCACAGAGCCTGAAGCAGGGTGTGAACCCGCTCATGAACCATGGATCATGACCTGAGCCGAAGTTGGACGCTTAACTGACCGAGCCACCCAGGCACCCTGAAATCTTTCCATTAAAGTTTATTCATTTTTCAGAGACAGAGTATGAGCTGGGAAAGGGCAGAGAGAGAGGAGGACAGAGGATCTGAAGTGGGCTCTGCGCTGACAGCAGCAAGCCCGATGCAGTGCTTGAACTCATTTATGGTGAAATCATGACCTGAGCCAAAGTCAGACCCTCAACTGACTGAGCCACCCAGGCGCCCACAATTCTGTAAATATACTGGAAACCACCGAGTTACACACTTTAAAGAGGTTATTACCACACTATGTGAATTTTATCTCAATTAAACTGTTAGAAAAATTACCCTATGGAATGGATGGACATTAATTCCTAACATACATTGCTTCCAATGTATCTATTCTACAGAACACTGCTGTGAACGGTTTTGTGCCCAGGCTTTTATCATACTATATAATTAAGAGTATGGATTCTTGGGCCCCCTGAGTGGTTCAGTAGGTTAAACGTCTGACTCATGGTTTTGGCTCATCATTTCACAGTTTGTGATATCAAGTGTCCTCTCAGGTTCCATGCTGACAGTGTGGAGCCTGCTTGTGATTTTCTCTCTCTGTCCCTCCTCTGCTCTTGCTTGCTCCCTCTCCCTCTCAAAATAAATAAAATTAAAAATAAAATTAAAAGAAAAAAGAGTATAAATTCTTGGGGCACCTGGCTGGTTCAGTTGGTGGAGAGTGTGACTCTTAATCTCAGGGTTGTGGGTTCGAGCCCTAGGTCAGTGTAGAAATTAAAGATAAAATTGTATACATATATAAAATATATACAAATTCCTTTTTTTAAAGATTTTAAATTTTATTTTATTTTTTATGTTTATTTATTTGAGAGAGAGAGCACAAATGCAAGCAGGGAAGGGGCAGAGAGAGAGAGGGAGAAACAGAATCCCAAGCAGGCTCAGTCTCACAAATGGTGAGCCCGTGACCTGAGCCAAAATCAAGAATCAGATGTTTAACCGACTGAGCCACCCGGGTGCCCCAACAAGTATTCTTAACTGTCTGCTTTAGTGGGAACCCTGGCTTGACAATGGCAGCTATATGAGGGCTGCTTGGGCAAGTCACTCAACTACTTTGTGCCTCAACTTTCCCATCTATCACATGAGATTAATAGTACTTACACCTCTTGGAATTCTGAAAATTAAATCAAGTAAGGGCTTGTCATGGTGACTGTCACACAAACAGTAGTAGTTGTAACTGTCATTCTGGTTTGTATTATTTCTTTAAAAAACTTTTTTTTTTTTTCCTTAACTTTTAGAGCCGGGAGGAGGGAAAGAGGCAGAGGGAGAAAGAGAGAAAATCTCAAGCAGGCTCCATGCTGAGTGTAGAGCCTGATCCAGGGCTTGATCTCACAACCCTGGGATCAGGACCTGAGCCAAAATCAAAAGTGGACACTCAACCAACTATCCAGGCACCCCTCCTTTGTTTTTTGTTTTTTTTTTAGGTTTTTCTTTTTTAATTGAGCTCTAACTTACGAAAAATATAGAATGCTTCACGAATTTACATGTCATTTTTGCACGGGGACCAACTCATCTTCTCTGTATCATTCCTATTTTATTTTGTTAAGTTTTATTTTATTTATTTGAAAGAGACAGAGGACAGTGCAAGTGGGCAAGAGGCAAAGAGAGGGAGAGAGAATCCCAAGCAGGCTCCATGCTGCCAGCACAGTGCCCGATGCGGGGCTCGAACTCATGAAACTATCAGATCATGACCTGAGCCAAAACCAAGAGTCAGCTGCTTAACTGACTGAGCCACCCAGGTGCCCCCCGTTCCAATTTTAGTATACATGCTGCCAAAGCAACCACTACATTATTTTCTTAAGATGATTTCCAGAAGCGGTGTTACTGGGTCAAAACCCATGAACATTTATGTGCCTGGATCCATTTTGCTCAGCTACATTTCAAAGGGGCTGTACCAACTTTTGGTGCCAATAGTAAATATACGAGAGAACCAAGGTAACCATGCCATCATCAACATTATGTTACAGTAAATCTGTTTTGTTAATTTAACAGCTGCCTCACTTTGGTTGTTCATTTTTGCTGCTTTGCCGTTAGCATCTTGGAACGCAACAGTTTTCTAGTTATCCTAAGAATCCTGAACACCACGAGCACCTGCCGAATGTGAAATCTGAGCAAGACCCGATACTGGGAGCCATAATGGGAAGAGAAATGAGTAAGGCCAAAGGTTTTGGTGAGGTAGGGCAAAGAAACATTTTGATTCAAGATAACTGGGATCACGTATGAGAGAACTACAAAATATCTGTAAGGGTAGGGGAAAGATGGTGATTTATAAAGCAGGGAAAAGGCGGTAGTATTCCAGCTGGTTCTTGAAGGATGGACATTAATTTCAACTGGCAAGGGTGTGGGGCAAGGGCGAAACCGAGGCTGGGAAAAGAACACGGCACATTCCAGAGCTGTGTCTCGAGGACAAAGTTGCTAGGGGAGCGGGAAAGGTGAGAGAACAAGGCACAGAGTGCTCTCGGAGCACAAAGAGGTCCCTCTAAAACACAGCCAATGACTATGGGCGCCGAGGGAGACAGTTTCTCAAGGGCAAGAAACACGCAGAAAAACACAAAGACATGAATCATCACGGCCCATCCAAGGAACTGCGTGTAATCCAACTTGGCTAAAGTGGAGGGTACATGTGGAAAGGAGGCAGGGGATGCTAAATAGGCAGAAGCTGACTGGGAAGGACTGTGTGTGCCAGAATAAAGAATTTGAACTTCATTCCAAAGGAAATGGAGAACTGAAGCAAAGAAGTGACAATCAGACTAGCTTAAAAAAAATTACTCTGGCAACACTCCAACAGCTTCCCATCTCACACAGAATAAAATCCAAAATCTAAAGTCCCTCTTGCACTTAACACCGCGCACGCTGGTCAGTGGCGATCTCTGAAACTGCTTCCTATTGCTCCTTCTCTCACTCACTGGTTTCGCTACACTGGCCTTCTCACTATACATCCCCTCCAACGTGCGTCTCCGTACAGCTTCTGCACTGGCTCTTCCCTCTGCCTAGGACTCCTCCCCGGGGCACAGTTTGTTCCCGTACTTCCTTCAGGTAGGTCTCTGTTCAAATACTTCTTATCAGAAAGGCCTTCCTTATTACCCAATATAAAAACAAGTAACTACAGCAATCAGCCCCACCATTTTTTCCCTCCACTTACCACCTGGCACATATATTTACTTGTACGGTGCTGGTCTCTCCTCACTAGAATGGTAAGTTCCAGGATTAAGCCTCTCTCAATAACCCTACAATGTAGGAACTGTTATTGCCATTTCCAAATGGTGAAATTAAGGGGCATGATATTGCTAGTGGAACCAGGCAGAATGACTCCTGAGGTTGTGACTCTAACCACTGCACACAGTGTCAGAGGTCCTGACTTTGACACGAGATCATTTCCTGTGAGTAGGCTCCATCCTGAGAAGCACTGGGATAGTAAAAACTCTAAATTCACACTATATCCTAAAAACATATGGAGTCTTAACCATTGGTTATTAGCCAAGTTTCAAAAGCCAGGAAACATTTTTGTAAATGATCAATTAAAATGTACAAGGTACCTGGCCTGTGATGTCCCTCCCTGAGGCCTGGATTGACACTCCTTAGACCCTGGGGCCTGCTTCCAGCTTGCTGAGGCCCATGGGCTGGATCATAAAGGACTTGCACTGTGTCTTCCATGTGCCCCATCTTCCTGCTTTGTTTCCTCTCACTTCCTTGGCCTGCTGCTCTGGCCAGGAGCTCAGTGCCTTTCTGTGCACCCCTTCACCCTCTTTCAGAAAAAGCTGTTCTCAGGAAAGATCTGATAAACTCCTTTACTCTTGGGTATAAGTGACTAATAATACCTTAAAAATGGAGAAAAATGTACAAGGTTATCTGAACTTTACCCAACAAAAAGCTTTTTTTTTTCTTGTTTAGGACCCATAGATAATAAGATGAAAAGATTTTATGAAACTAAAAGGAACAAAGCAAAGGACACCAAAACTCAAGTATAATATTAACCTCAGGAATAAAATTAACTCCACCTTTAAGATAACCACTAAAATTTTCTGAGGTATCACTACCAAAAGAAGGACACATTACCTACCAGAAAACACCAAGTAAATATTGAATTATATGCAGATACAAATCCCAATTCTTTTCCTGCTCCTGATTATACATTTCGTCTTTGCTTGACTACTCTTTCATCCCATCTCCCATTATCGAGAGTATCCCTTTTAGAAATGTAGTTCTCCACCAACTGCTTTTCCCCTGTCAACTACACCATACCAGAATTTACCACTCTTAATATCAACTACTACCTGTATAATGACCAAATCTAATTAAAATTTCTCTCTCTTTTCTTTCGCAGTTTTTGATCTCAAATTGCCTGACTATAAGTAGGACCCTTTTATATCCCTACCTTTTCAGAGAAAATCAACTTTTTGAAAATTGTCCCCTTTTCTATTTACTTCGTTATCTGTACTATCTGGCTACTCGCCTAAGTTTACAACTTCAATATATTTCTTCTCCATTTAATCAACAGGGCTTGCCAACTGCTCATTGTGTCTTCTACGATCTTACTTTCCAAATCCGCCATCTATCACCGTATTCTGGGGTTTCTTCATTTCCTTCCCGAATTACCACAGTTTTCCAGCTGGCCTGCCTACTTCCAGCCTACTCGCTTCCATTCATTCCATACATACTGCCAGTAAAGCCTCTCTCACACAGCACACTCCCAATTCAAGGACCTTAAATAGTTCCCCAACACAAGTCCAAACTTCTCAAACCAGTACTCAGGGCCCTCCTTCTACCCCTTCAGACTGTCACTAATAAATGTTTATCTTACACATTCTAAGGCAAAACCCCAGAAAACCAACATCTTTGTCTCCCATATCCAAATCAGTGCAATGCATACGGTAGATCTACAGACAACACAAACCACCATCTTTCACTTCACTTAAACTAATTACATCAAGCAATGGGAATACATTAATCTATCATCTTCTGAACAACTCAAATTTCTATGGGAAGGATTCGTTTTCTAAAGTTAAACCCTTCTGGGGTACCTGGGTTAAGTATCTGGCTTCAGCTCAAGTCATGATCTCACGGTCTGTTGAGTTCAAGCCCTGTATGGGACTCTGTATTGACAGCTCAGAGCCTGGAGCCTGCTTCAGATTTTGAGTGTCTCTCTATCTCTGCCCCTCACCCACTCTGCACGCTTGCGCATGCTCTCTCTCTCAAAATAAAACATTAAAAAAATTTTTTTTCAGTTGAACCCTTCTAATCAGCAAAATGAAAATGTATGCAGTTATCAGTAAATAACACCCCATATCCTTAGTGGAAGTACAAATATTTTAAAGATGAATTTGCCAATATCTATAAAAAGTTTAAGTGCAAAATATTCTTTAGCCCAGCAATCTTCCAGGAAATTACCTATAGATAGTCTCACAGAAGAAAGAAAAATTATATGCAGGATATTAAGCACAACACAGTTATAATAGTTTAAAAAAAGACACAACTGAAGCTTCCTTACTGGACTATTATTATATGTCCCCACCAATGGAATATTATGCAGCAATTAAAAATAAAGTAGCAGCTGTACATGAGCTGATATGTAAAGATGTTTAAGAATGACACGAGGGGGGGAGGGGGAGGAAATCACAGAACAGAATGTACATTATTATTCTATTTGTGTAAAGAAAATGCATATACATTTGTGAATGCAAGAAAATATCTAAAAAGAAATATAACAAACCACTAATAGCAGCTAATTCTGGGATTGGGATTCAGGGAAAGAAACAAGGGATTTTTACTTTATGGGGTCCACATGCATGTACAGGCACATATATAGCCTTTTTTAAAAGAAGTATAGATGAGGGGCGCCTGGGTGGCTTAGTCGGTTAAGCGTCCGACTTTCGCTTAGGTCATGATCTCGCGGTTCGTGGGTTCGGGCCCCGCGTCGGGCTCTGTGCTGACTGCCAGCTCAGAGCCTGGAGACTGTTTCAGAGTCTGTGACTCCCTCTCTCTCTGACCCTCCCCTGCTCACGCTGTCTCTCTCTCTCTCTCTCTCTCCTAGAAATAAAGAAAGCATTAAAAAAAAAAAAAAAAAAGAAGTATAGATGACATATATTATTAGTTTCAGGTATATACTACAGTGATTTGATATTTACATATACTAGGAAATGCTCCACAATGAGTAGTTATCACCTGTCACCATACAAAGTTACGACACTGTTATGGACTATACTCCCTATGCCGCCCTTTACATTCCCTGATTTATTTTATAACTACAAGTCTGTGTCTCTTAATCCCCTTCACCTATTTTGCCCATCCCTCCACCCCTCCCTTCTGATAACTACCATTTGTTCTCTGTATTTAGGAGTCTGTTTCTGTTTTGTTTCTTAGGTTTCACAGAAGTAAAATCATAAGTATGTGTCTTTCTCTAATTTATTTCACTTAGTATAATACCCTCTAAGTCCATCCATGTTCTTGTAAATGGCAAGATTTCATTCTTTGTTATGGCTGAGAAATATTTGTGTGTATGTGTGTGCGCGCGCACATGCACATGTATATATCATGCCTTCTTTATCCATTTCTTTTTTAATA